AAGGGCTGTGCCAGAAAATCTAAAAGTACGTTTGCCAAGGCTAAGTTTGGGTTTGGGTAGATGGAGGTCAGCCTTCCTTCGAGTGTTGTAACCATGTACATTGTAGTTCCTAATGAAATAATTACTTAAATACTGAGGAACTAAGTTATGCAAACATTTAAAAACTAAAACACATTTGTGGATTTTACTGTTCGTTTCTAAGTCAGTCCACCCTAAAACATTAAAAGTATCTCTAGAAGAGTCACGCTTGAGAATGATACGGGCAGCACGGTTTTGCAACCGCTGCAGACATTGAACCAATCAAAGCTTAAAGCAGATACATTTAATTGCAGCTCATGCTAAGCATTGGGAAAACATGTGAGTAAGGCCCCAACCACACTAATGCATTTTTGTTTGAAAACGTATACTTTTTGATGCATTTTCGCCTATCATTGCCTATCATCTGTGCTAAAATGATCAACAACACTGATGAAAACGGAGGCTTCTGAAAACGGTTTCAAAAGTGGAGCCTTTTGAAAACGCATAGTTTTAAAACTTTCAGTTTCTAGTGTCGTTACGTGAAAATGGAGGCTTTTGAAAATGGTTCAGAAAAAAGCGTCATATGCTGTCATTTCCATCAGTGTTTTGGGGCATCTTAGTGTGGGTGATAGGTGAAAATGCATCAAAAAGTATGTGCTTTTGAATTAAAACCAATTAGTGTGGACAGGTAAAAACAAACGAAAATGCTAGTGTGGTCGAAAATATTTTCCCTCATTTTGGTTGAGACGAAAACGGATACCTTTAAAAATGTACTTTACGGGCTGTATTAAGCTCGCATGCTATTGTGGTAAAATGTACAGCCGCCATCTTTTTTCCTACGGAGGATTGGATCCACTTCTGGAATCTACATACACATGTTCATGTATACACATTACTGTCACTTCACAGCTCTAACATCTTACTTTTTGTGTACTTCATAGGGGTCCAGTACCTGTGTTGGTGATGAGTTTGTTGTTCATTGCTTCAGTCTTCATGCTTCACATATGGGGAAAATACACACGAGGATAAACAACAAGCAATTCAATTTAGCTTGTAAATTCCATTCTTGGACATTACAAGACCCTTATGTCCAAATACTGCTAAAACAGACTGTGATACAAACTATGTTTGCTATTTTTCACAAAATATAATAATTATTGTTAACTAACTGCTTCTAGAAACCTTATTAAAGTATAAAAATTTATTCAGTCACCTTGGTTACTAAGCTATCGCAATGAACTCATTTTTACTGAAATGATCAAAATCCAAAACTGATTGAAAATTGTCACCACATGTGCAGAGCAGAAACAGAAGGAACTCTCTGTCTCACAGGGTACGAAATATAGAAATGTGGCCTCGTGAAAGTATTACTCAACAGCTTTCATTTAACTGGTCAAGCACTTGTGGGTTTTATTAACATAACAGGCAGATGCAGATAATGTGTTTACATTCTCATTTTCACCTAATTCAGATCATGTCATGATTCGTTTGGGAGGTAAAAATATTGTTCTGTTTGTACGTACTCGCGTGCAATCATTCGCACTTGGCAAATTGCACAGTTGTAATCTACCAAATGAATGAATCATCAGTTTCAAATTGGAACCAAAAGGATTATTCAAACTTGTGCCCATGTTTCTGCAAATCTCTTTTGAAGTAATATATCAAACACGAAAGACCGTGTTTGACCACATTTCCAAACACCGAGAGGAGAGTGGAAACTACGACACGTTGCGGAATATTTTTGACGACATTTGAGGTGATTAGAAATGAGGTCAAACACGGTCTTAAGCGATAATCGATTCGTGTGGGCGGTCTGCTTTAATTAAAAGCACGCGTGGAAATAGCCAATCACGTGACACTTTCGACAGACAGCCAGAAGATATCCCGATTCCCGTCCCTTGACAAACCACCTCAAAATTCTAGCTTTACCTCTAATCCACTATTATAGAGAGCTTATCAGTAAGACGAGCAAACAAACAAACAAACAATTAGAACGGAATGAAAACCCTCAAAACCACGCCAATAGACTTTCAGAAAAGTCCTTCGTCTTGTTTATTCATTACCCGCTTCGCGACTTTCACAATCACACCGCCCGCTTAGCGGCCTAAAACCTCGTAGCTCCCTTGGCTCGCTTAGTTATTTTACCCCGAAACTCGTGAGGTCACCAAGGGCAGTGATGTGCTACTGGTGAAATACAATGCTGTACAAAAGTCGCACTCCATTTGCCCTCTTCTACCCTTGGTTTTTCCTCGTTTGAACACGTTACCCTCGTTTGTTACTTCATTTCAAAGTGGTAAAGGAAAGCTTGATCCTAGGTTACCTAGAAACAGGATCGCAGCTCGACCAAAATCAAAACGCTGCGCGTGCGCGTGCGTGGTGTTAAGTGTGACCAAACGGTGCGTAATTATTAACTGTGCGTCATGAATCACAATATAGTAATCAAATCATTCCTCTCGGCTTAGTTCGCGGGTTATCCAGCAAAGTCACTTTTTGGAGTCCTTTATAGTTAGCTTGATAACAAAGAGAAGAGAGTTTTCTAAGCGTGGGATCATACACTGTCAGGTAAGATGGAATCTGACCAAACGCTCAAACTGCGAATGCAAATCAGTTCCAATTTAGGAGTCTCTTGATTTGTTAGAGGGAACGTTTATAACCCATCATGGTAAAGGGGGAACACGACACGAAATTCGCGCCGCGCACCCGATGAGTCGGCACATGAAAGAAAGAAGAACAAAAAGCCTTCATTTTGTCTTACACAGTTGCTCCTTTTTGTCCTGTTTTCAAGTAAAAAAACTGCTCCTCTCCTACTGGTCAATGCTTTAGGAATGTTACCACAATTTCCATATTTTACGAACGTGGTTAATAATACCATTGTAACTGCGAATTTCTTTCTCTTCCTAAGTTTTCTTTCTCGTCATGGATATTGACAAGTTCCTTCTACAGTGGCTAACTGACCACTGGGAGAGCCTGCAGATCTATCAAGCCCACTGCTTGGACAGCCTGAAGAATTGTCCAGCCTTGAGCAGATACACACAAGCCAAGGAGTTTAGTCACTCGCATCCCGTGATCGCAATCTTCCTGGCTGTCGTCTTCGGCTTTGGCTTCCTCCCTATAATCGTCTTCTTATCGTTCGCATTTGGCTCCTTTGTGGTCATCTTCTTGACAGCGCTAACAGTATTCGAAGGAGTACTTGTGATATCACTGGTGCCGTTCCTTACTGTTGCAGTCCCAATACTGATGTTTGGAGGCGTGGCGGCTGTCTTCATTTACATTGCTTGCTGCTGTGTTGTGACGATTCGACGAATCGTCAAGCAATTAAAAGAAATGTTCAAATCCAGGCTTCCCTCGAGAATCCACGGAAAAAGAATCCGATTTGTTGGACATAGAGTAAACCCACAACAACTTAACTGCAATTTTGCATTCCCTCCAAGCGAGCAAGAAACTTTCGAGGATGAACTGAGCAATAGCTCTCCCGATTGTTTCTAGACAAAAACTGACCGAGTAAAAAAAAATTACAATTTATATAAAAATACATAAAACATTAAATCAAACAAAAAAATTCATCCCGTTTTATAACAAACAGCTCCTTATTTTGTTTGCTTCCTTATTTTAAAACCCCAACCTCCAAGTTGATTTTTTAATGCCTATTGTACTTGTCAATGAGGCATTTTTACATGAAGAATTGCTGTAACAGGATGACATTAAACTACACTATGTACATAACTGAGAAAAGGCCTTCGTATAAATCTCTGGCAACAGAGATACAGAGTTTTTAAAACTGATGTCACTCAAGTTGATTTTTTATTCATATTGTCAGTCTTGACAATCAGACACTCTTTATAAGAAGAATTGCTTTGACATCAAAATACACCTTGTACATAACTGAGTATATGCTGGAAGACCCTGGAACTGATACTGTATTTTATTTCCAGCAAATACTCAGTTACGAGTGATTAATTAGTATAATTTTTAAAGAAATGATTTGTTACGGGGCTATCAACCCACAGCATGTCCATATTCGACAACATATGGTTATTTTAGATTTACATACCAAGACGCCCACCCCTGAGTGGTATCGAGCCACGAATGTCACGAATTTTACCCCTAAAAGCACGAAGATCACCTCATTCGGGCTGGAGAAAGATCTCCTCAGTATAGAATTTAACAATTTAACCAACTGAAAAGCCTTGCACTGGAATTTCGCAATACATTTAGATCCAGTTCCGACCATTTTTGTAGGTAAACTATTCCGTTGATTGAAGATAAACTAAGCTGCCAATCTTGAACGGAGGCTTGAAGTCCTAGGTCCCGTCCAGACTATGCCGGAGAAATTTGGAATCGCCACAATTGCCGGTCATTTTGGATTTGTGCTTGAGGAACGCACGGTCCGGGGAAATCACATGATTGTGACGTTATCGTTTCCGAAACTCTCCGTTTTCAAAATAATGTCCGTCCACGCTAAAACGCAAAAAACGGGATTTTCAAATTCCTCCGGCTTGCAGACCGGTTTTGAAAAGCTCCGTTTTCGTGAAGGATTAGCGTGGACGGTAGGCCTGACCGGAGAAATAAAATCCTCCAGCGAGTGTGGACGCGCCTAAAAAGCACGGCTGACTTCGGTTGAGTATCCCATCATGCACTAAAAGCACAATCTATGATCACGTGTCCCGGAGCATGATATCTTTGAAAATATGGCGGGTATTCTGTTTGGAAATCGAAAGGTAAGACATTTTGGCGCTTTTCTATTTTTATTTGCTCTTCTTTGGCTTTTGTTCTTTTATTATCAAGAGTAAGATGTATTCCTTCAAATTTAAGACTAACTTAAAGAAGTTAATGCAAGTGGAAGGAAGCGTTTTAGAGGGTGAATTTGAGCACATGGGAACATTGAACAAAACACTTCATGAGATACCATGTACAGTCAGTAAGCTTATATAGAGCGGTTTTCAGTTTGGTGTCAATCGTAATCGGGCAATTACTTTGGTTTGGGTTTTGGTTTAACTACGGTTTCAGACTGGGCGAGTAGTCTTATTGGCAAGGTAACATTGGTTTTGCCACACCCAGTTGAAAATTGCTGTAAGCTACTAGGTCTTCATAGCAAATAGTGTCCAAGAGCAAATAGCTGTGGATATTTTTTGGACTCAGTTGGAAGCTAAATTGCACGGCTTTCATTAACGTTTTCAGCAGGGAGGGCAACTGGTTTCCACAAAACGCTAGCCCGGGGCAAGTAACTTTTCCCAAAGTGGCGGGGGGGGGGGGGGGGGGGGTACTGCCATATATGGGCTATATAGGTATGTGCTGCTGTGAAGGGTATGGTTTTCATGCAGGTTACTCTAGCGTAGGGTATACAAATCAGAGCATTTGGGTCTTGAATAGGGTATCATTTTTCATGAAACTGACCAGTTGGTGGAAGATTTTATCCAGACTAAAAGGAAACCAAGAATTGCCATTAAAAAAAAAAAAAAGAAATGAATCGGCAAGGTTAAATTTTTGCAACTCAGCCTCGACAACGTTGATAGATGACTATCATAAAACACTACTGGATATTATTAACTGTCAAAAATCGGGATTCAGACGGAAATTGTTTCTTTACTAACCAGATCACTCCAAGATCTCTTGGATCATGGTGTGTTAAAGGAACCAAAGAATCCACTCCCGTCAAAGGAAACGAAGAATCTACTCCCAGAGTGGATTCTTCGGGTCCTTTGACACACCATGATGCGAGAGATCTTGGATTGATCTGGTTAGTAAAGAAACGCAAAATCCTTTTTTGGATTCTTTTGGATTTAAGAATCCAATCTTGGAGTTTTTGAAGAAACGCACCCTTAAGTCTGCAAGATGAGAAAAACAAGGAGTTAAAAGCATGGATTAATTTAAATTCCAAGTGTGTGAAACTTACTCTGTTATGACTGCTGTAGTGGTTTGATATACGATCCCAATAACTGGTTTACGTCAGTTTCCAAGTTGAATATAAGGATTTATTTTATTTAATTTTTTGGTTTGCCACACAAACAGGTCCCTGATTACTTGATATGAAAATTCATCAGTATCTTGGCACATGTGGAAGCTTGGGATTCAGTTTTGTAAAAATGTCCTAAGTATTCCATGACCCCTCAATCTCCTGCTGCTTCCAATGCACGTGGGAAAGGTAAACAGGTTGAAAACCCTTGAAATGCATCTTCCCTTTAACTCAGACATTTGAAATGGATGTCTTATTGTTGCAGGATCCTTCATTTTTAAAGTTTCTTATCACAATATATGGTGAAGTGGGGCAAAAATAGTGGAGTGAAGATTGGCCAGTAGGCGGCCATTTTGGCTGGCTACAGTGACCCTTAATTGACAGTCCTGTTACTGTAGCAGTTTGTATGACAGGCAAATTCTGGTTGCATTACTGCTATATAAGCCTTTATCTCCCCAGCATACACATCCTGCATTCAGTAGACAAGAATACTGGTAAAGCAAGTTGATAGGGGAACCTTTTGGGTAGTTGTTAGTATCTGCATTTGTCCCGTCCTGTTGTTCTACCATTCATCACAAGACTGCAGCCTCTTGTTTCATATTTGAAGTTTTTCCATCACTTAAACCTTTCCTATTTCTTGCCAGAAAAAAAAAAGAGAAGCAACAATAAAGTCTTCATGTATGTGCCAAGACTACTTATATGGAAAGAAATTCACTTTGAGACATTAGATCCCCTATACTAGGTGAGTAGTGATTTTGCTGTGTTTGGTTGGAGTGGTTATTAACCTAATTACTTTTGCTAACTGTGCTACATGTAGGAATATTAACACAAAATGTTGACAAAAGTGAAATGAACAGGGAAGTGGTTGTTTCAATGTTGTTGAGCTATTTCAAGGATCTTTTCAATTGTTGCATGTATGTGACAAGATAACCTAGCCATGCCCAGGGTACTGTTCTTGATGAAAGTTCAGTTGTGGGAGGATGGGCCAATTTCTTTCCACCATATATATCAGTTCTTCTTTAACCATTTAGCAACATGCTATTTAGTTATAATTTGTTATTGTGGAAGTAGGCTCTTTGCAGGATCCGGTCACATGGTACGGAATTAATTACGCTGGGACACAAGTTACACAGTGGGACTTCCAAAACAAAGGAACTTGTACCAGTCAAGCCCAACTTTCCTTTGTTTTGGAAGACCCACTGTGTAACTTGAGTCCCAGCGTAATTAATTCAGTACCATGTGACCGGATCCTGCAAAGGGCGTATTGAAGAGACTCAGTGGTCCAATGGTTGGTGCACTGGACTGCACATCAAGCAGTCTTTTGTTTGTTCTTGGACAAGACACTTAACTCTCACAGTGCCACTCACCACTAAAGTGTACAACATTTATTGCTACTCAGTGAATTCAATGCTGAGGACTAACCCTGCAACAGACTAGCACCCCATCAAGGGGGTGGGGGAGAGGAAAATACCGCTGTGTTTTGGATCACTTGGCTTGACACAGATTCTACTTTACCTCCATTGACAAACCTCTCTCCTATTAGAGTTGAAATTTAAAAAAAAAATATGATGACTTATTTTTTATTGTGTAGTTTGTAAAAGTTACGAGATTAAGGCTGTCATGACGGTTAAAACATTTCCTTTTTCTTACTAGATACAAAAGAGTGAAACAACAATGAAGGTATGTGTCAAGACTTAAGAGGAGAAAAAATCACGTTGAAACATTGGATTCCATATTAGGTGAGTCACAATTTCTCTGTGTTTGTTTAATGTACTAGGCATGACAGTGCACAGAGCAGGTAGAGAATTTTAATCAGATAAAAATGTTACTGTTTTTTAAGGAACTGTTGCTATGTTGACTCACTAACCCTTAGCTCAGGGGTAAGGTGTACAAGAATTCCTTCAACAACTGCAATGCCTGTGGGTACCATTGATGACGAGTATTATTTTGTGGGATTCCAAGTGCGTATTATCCTTTGTCTCTGCCATGCTGCAAGTTTACAGTTAAAGTTTCTTAACACTGTAGGATATTTTTCTGGCTTTGTGACAAGTCCGGCATGTTTTGGTAGCGGATTCATTTTGCCGTTACTCGCAGGTGGGTAAATCCAAAATAGGAACATCCCATTTGATTGCCTCTCTGGAGATTTTGAATCCAAAATCTAATGAGAATTTTTTGTATTGAAATTGCAATGTGTTGTTGGGCAAACAATACCTCCATAAATAAAAATATTCATTTGCCTGGGAAAATATGAGTTGACATCATTCAGCAGTGACTTTTCTCCACCTTGTCTTCAAAAATCATTTCTGAAATCTTTGTACTTGCTTCTTGATCTGCAGTCCAGTGTGCTTAACCTTAGAAAAATATTTCTTTTCAGATATACCCACCTAACCTGAAAAACAAGGTTTACAAATGCACTGTTTTATTTTCCCAACAGGAAAAATGTTGGCACTCTGCCTGGGAAGAGAGGCAGGTGTGGGGCTTCATTGTTACATGGTAAGTGATGCTTTATACTTTATATTTATACCTACTACTGTGGAGAAATCAGGCTTGGTACTAGGTAAATTTAATACTGGGTGCTAACCCTGCAACAGACTTGCATCCCCTCTCATTCCATCATTGTCAAACCTTGCCCCTGTAGGGTTGAAACTCTTACAAAATCTGATGATCGTGTTTGAATTGTGTAGTTCTGTGAAACAGTCAAACTCGCATCCCATCCACGAGGGAGTGGAAATACTCAACATCACTTAATGTGACAGAGACAAGCTGAGACTGGGTTAAGCTGTGGTGGGTTAGATCACTTGGCCTGATGCAGACTTGCCTTATCTTCATAGTCTCATCCTAGTAGGGTTAAAACGGTAAAACTCTGATGACTTATTTTTAATTGTGTAGTTTGTAAAACGTAAGACGTCAAGGCTGTCATAAAGGTTAATAAAAACAGTTCCCATTTCTTACTAGACACAAACCAGAAAGCTGTGTACTAAGACTTGTATGGAGAAAGATTCATACTGAGGCAATAGATTCCATATCAGGTGAGTCTTGGTTGGAGAGGTTTTTACATGTGCTAAGAATAATGGCACACAACGAAGGTAGAAAATCAAAACAAAGAGAGACGTTACTATTTCACAGTTCAGCTATTGCACTTCATCCGCAGGGGTAGGGTTCCTCGCATTGTACGTGGTGATTGGGGGAGGGGGGGGGGGTCCAGCATACTTTTTTGGGTTGAAAATTTACACCCTCTGTATTTTTTTGAGTCAAGAGATCTGTCACTTATTTTTTAGGTCTTAAAAAATATGCATATTTTTTTGGGTTTACACATCTCCAAGTGAAACTTCTGTTGCAATCAGTGGATCAGATAATTATTCTTTCAAATTTTTTTTTCAGCAGCGTGTGAGTTCTGGGGAAAAAAGCGGATAAAAAAGACAATACAATGTAACGGACATACCATTTTCATTAGCTTATTGATGAAAAATCGTGCATTAGAAGAGTCTGTTTTATACTGAATAAATAGATTTATTTATTTCGGTATTTATTTTATTTTGGGTAGGAGATTTTGATTCTAGGTATTTTTTTTTCAGGCTCATGTATTTTTTGGGGGTTGCAATATGAAGCTACCCCAAACCCCCATGTCATGTATAATGG